TTTTTTTTTTTTTTTTTTTTTTTTTTTTTTTTTTTTTTTGCATGGTACAAATGAAGCTCAAAGGAGGTAAATAAATGGTTCAGAACTGTACAAGTTTCCCAGAGCTGTGCCGACATAGCATTGGGCACGCTTCCAAACAAGCCTTCTTTGCCACTGTTCTTTACCAGTGTATGGGTGAGTGGGTTCTACTCCTTATATATAAATGGATTGGGACAAGGAACATGCTTGGAGGAAGTCATTTTAGCTCAAGTATCAGCACTTGGCAGCAGTTCCCACCCAGGTGCCTCTACTCTCTTCTGTACTGTTGAGGTGCTCAGAAGCCAGAAGTGTTCTTGCTTCTAGATTTCTAATTTGTGGGTTTGGATAACTTCAGTATTAAAATTTATCCAGCATCATCTCAGGAAACCCAACAAGACAGTTACTCTGGGACTCAAGCCATATGTAAAGTAGAGGCTATGAAAATAAGTCACATAATTTTAAATGCAGAGCTGGAGGCAGAAGCAAAAGCATGGTGAGTGGCTCCTTCTGGGTGTCCTCTGGGTCCCCAGACTGGTCAGGCAGATGTGAAGATGTACAACAGCAGAACAGCAACAGAATGGCAGTGCCACTGTCATTATCACCCCACTTGCAGAGGGTGTAGGGGCCACGGGCTCCCTCACGGTCACGGCAGAACTGGATGTCCACTCTGGCAGCTCAGAGCCTGCTATCCTCCCCCTTCTAGACTTGAAGTCACAGGAGAGCAAGCCCCTGAGAAGGGACTCATGTTCCTCAGCAGGAGGGGAGGGTCACCTCAAGGCTGTGGTCACTTCTTGAGGGCACAGAGTGCTTGTGTGAAAGCAGTGTTTTCTATTATTTCTACCATCACTGTTGTTTGTGCTGTCTACTGATATATTATTTTCTTCTCTTCACCTTAATTTGATTGAAAGCATAAACAAACCAAGAGCAGATTGCTTATCCCAGCCTGCTGCACAGATGCTGTGATCTTGTAATGCTTCTGCTAAGCCTGGCACAGCCTTTGCCTGGAGCTGTCCATCGCGACTTTAATTAGAGTCCTGCGAGTGGAAGCTTCAACTTAGGCTGTACTCTCACAGTGAGACGCTGTAGGCACATTAATGAAGCATTTGGATGAGAATCCCCAGCTGCCAGCGAAGTGACCTACCCAGGTGTTCAGACAGAGCCTTGCAGAAGGAGTGCAGGCAGGGCCTACGACTGACATACCCAGTTTGAGGGAGATTGCTGCAGGGCTGTTTGTTGGGGCAGCAGTCTGGCGGCACTCTCAGTCTCTCTCTCTTCTCTCTCTCTCTCTCTCTCTCTCTCTCTCTCTCTCTCTCAGCTTACTTTCTCTTTTCCTAAGAGAGAACAGTTGACTTTAGCTAGTCCTCAGACAAAATTAAACAATTTGGATGATAGCTGAAGTTATACCATTTCTTAAATGATGATTAAAAACCTTAGGGACAACATCCACACTCTTGTTGGACAGAAGAAATAAGTCTCAAAAGGTGAAGTGATTTGCCCAAGTTCACATGTGAGGGCTGAAAGCAGGCCCCTGTCAAACTGTTTCCCAGGCTCCAGGCTGCTACACACAAATCTGTCCCTGGAAGCAGCTGGCCTGGGAATCTGAGTACTTCCCCTGAAGTCCACTGTGGCTGCAGTCCCATCTGGATGGAAGGGATGCGCCCACTGACCTAGACATGATTAGTAGCTGTGCAGCCCAAGGACCACCCAGCCATCAAAGCAGCGCTGGTGAGCTTCCAGGACAGCCTTCACATTGTGAAGGTTGTGAAGTTAGAAATCACCATCTGTGTAATCTTGATGGAGCCATAGTCAAAGCAGAACACTGAGACATGTACCATTTTCATAACTGTGCTGGGCATGAGGACAACCACCAGGCCTTGATTAGTCTAATGGCCCAGTATTGAGCCTTAGAAAGAAGGGACACCCTGACACGTGGCGCATTGTGCACACCCTGAGCACATGCTGTGGAAGAAGCCAGACCTGAAAGGCTACTGTAACTTTCTGGAATGTGAAATATCCATGACACAGGCACAGCCCTAGAGACAAGAAGCAGACTGGTGGTAGCCTGGGCTGGGAGGGAAGGAGAAACGTGTACAGGACTTATTTGAGGGGCAATGAGAATGTTGTGGAGGTATTTGGAGTGATGTTCACACAACTCTGAGTACAGGAAAACTCACTGACTGGTATGTGACCTCTATCAATAAAGCTGTTGTTGAAACCAGTGCAGCAGTGACTATGAAGGGTGGAACATAGCCAGTCCAGTAGAGGCCTTGGACTTAATGACATTTGATGCTTTCCAGGGCCTTAAACGCTGGGCCCAGTTCTTGTGTGGGTGTTGTGGTGGCGATTCAACTCTCACTGTTTTGTTTTTCTGCCCCTCAGGATGAGGCACCCTTCCCTGAGAACATCTTGAGCTATGTGGCCCACAAGTCCACGCTGACCTACCCTCCCATGACCCGGCTCCAGAACCCCGAGGCCTTCCCACAGAGGACATTCAGCCGGCTCCAGCCAGACCAGCTCAGCCCAAAGGTGGACAGCAGCATGGACAGACAGCACCTGATGGCAGCTCTTGGCACCTATGTTGCTCGAATACCTCCGGTACCAGCCAGAGAGGGTGACCCAGGGCCACGGTACATTCTGCGCAGCCCCTCAAGAGCGCCAAGGCCCCTCTCTGCACTGGCAGCCCCCCAGAAATGGCTTATGCCTCCAGGAGACCCCCAGGAGACCCTGAGCACAGGCAATGGTGAGTTGGCCCCCCCGTCCTGGGTTCACATGTATTTGCTGGCCTGGGATCCCTGGTGCTGATTTTGTTGCTTTCTTACCATACTGGTGGTTCATCCTGCATGGAAGTAGTGCATGGCAGGAGGACCACTGTGTGGCAGAGGAACTGTAGGTCCTCTGGTCCCCTCCACTTGGATAATGGGCAAGTGGTGGCCTTGACTCCCCTGGACACAGAGCTGGTTGAGGGGAGGAACACACTCCATCTGCATGAGTCCTCACCTCCCCTCAGTCTTCCCTAGGTGTTGTGAATGCACAAGTCTTAAAAATCTTAATAACAATTTTATTTCAATATTTTAAAAAAACTATTTCAACATATAATCAATATTTAAAATTACTGCACATTGTACATTATTTTTCATACTTAGAAAACCAGGAAGCATTTTATACCCGCACCGCTCCTTGATTCAGACTGGTCGTATTTCAACCACTCCAGAGCCAGCTCCTCTATCAGACAGTGCGGCACTAGATATTACCTCAAAATAAGGAAGCTAACATTTAAAAAGATTTTAGTTTTTGTTAGTTCTTGTTGACGTTATAACATATTGGAGTCCAATGAGTATAATAGAGTTGATCATATCCACCCCCTATTGCCTTCCTTTCCCCTTCTCTGACAGTCCCCCCTCTATTTTCCACATCATTTGTTTTGGATTCCTCGCATCAGAGAGAACATGAGATACCTTTCTTTCTGAGTCTAGCTTTTTTCAATTAACATGATGATCTCCAGATCCATCCATAAGTTCTTTCTGGCTTGATATCCGTCCACTGTGTATGTGTGTAACATTTGCTTATCTATTCATCTGTCGGTGGACACCTAGGCTGGTTCTGTACCTTGGCTGCTGTGAAGTGTGTCACAGAAAACACGGATAAGCAGCTATGGTGGCAAACCTGTGGTGCTCACGCTACAGCGGGTATGCAGAGCGCTCTCCGTTGGCCTGTGAGCTGAATCACCTCAGCAGCTGGGCATCAAATAACAATTGTTTTCTGAACCAAAACCTCAGGTTTCATTACAGTGTTGGCACTGTGCAGTAAATAAGAGGGTCTGGGGTTGCAGTTTGCTAGTTTGGTCTCTAAAAGGTTTGCCATCACTACCCTATACCATCTGACTTTAATTTCTTTGGGTATATGCTATGGCTAGATCACACAGCTGCTCTGTTTTTAGTTTTCTTGTGGAAACAGGGTCTCTGCTAATTTACATCACCACCAGCAGGGAAAAAGAGTTTCTTCTTTTCCCCATTTATGCCAACATTTGTGGTTTTTTATAATCTTTGATGACAGTCGTTCTGACTGGAGTGAAATGGAATCTCGGTATATGGTTGCTCTGTGCATTTCCCTGATGCTAAAGATGTTATACATTTTTTTCATACATTTACTGGCCATTTGTACTTCTGAGAAAGATCTGTTCCTTCATTTGCCTGTCTCTTGACTAGGCCATTTCATATTTTTTTGTTGTTGATGATGAGTTTTTTGTGTTCTTTATATATATTTTAGATATTAATCTGGTGGAAAAGTAGCTGGCAAAGGTTTTCTCCCATTCTGCAGAGTTTTTCACTTTGCTAGTTTTTGTTGTTGTTGTTTTTTTGCAGAAATTTTAATTTGATGTCCATTTGTTGATTCTTGCTATTATTTCCTGTGCTATTGGAGTCCTATTCAGGTAGTTTCTGCCTATGCCTCCACTTTTAAGTGTTTCCCCTATGTTTTCTTCTATCAGGGTCAAAGTTTCAGGTCTTTGCTTCATTTTGATTTAGTTTTTCACAGTGCTAGAGATAGGGGTCTAGGTTTGATGTCCTGTGTGAGGATGAAGCATGGGGAACTTCCTCCCAGGGCAGGTTCTACTCCAGTTGTGTGTCTGCCTTGTGCTTTGGGAAATTGTGTAGGAGCAACGTCATGCCTCCCGTCTTACCTCACCACTCCTGGCAGCCTAGTCATGGTCCTTCTGTGTATCTACAGCCATTTGCTTTGTCCTAAGAAGAGTCCAGTGTGCAGTTGGTGCCATCCACAGTGCAGCAGTATCGGGTGCAGACCCAAAATGACTGGGTCAATACTGCAGCTTGGGAGCTTCCTGTCCTGCTCCCCTCCCACGTATGAAAGGTTCTGACTTGGTGTTTCTAGCAGCCTTTTCCTCAGCCTGGCCTGGAGTGGGATTCTGACAAGAAGGGGTTTCTCCTGTGAGCACACATGCCGCCTGAAGCCAAGCAAATGACAGCTTTTAAAAATATTGACTGAGACTTTCAGTAACATTGGCCACCACTGTTCTCCCTAAGAGAAGCCTAATTGTGATTGCTGTGAAAGTTGTATTTTCTTCTCATTGCTGCTTTGCATCCTAGCACTTCTCTGCTCTCTCTGTCCGCATAGCCATTAACAGCAGTTCTTAAGTGGAGGGGATGTGGAGTGATGATTAGAGAGGAGGGTGCATGACTGTTTCGGACTGCTGTGTGCAGAGGGTGCCTGGGGAGATAGAACAGCTCACACTTGGCTGCAGCATTCCTAGCCTTGGCATCTGGGAGGCTGCTGGTCCCCCACAGGGTGCCACCCTTGGGGATGTTCTCCTCTTTGAAGCCCTGACTGCCCCTCTCTGTGACCCTGTGCTCCCTGCACTGCCCTTATCACTGGGCTCTGGTAAGCAGCCTTTCCTGCCAAGTTGGCTATGATATCATCTGGGACCCTGGCTCCCTGGCCCAGTGTGGTTCCTCATCATTGTGCTGTGCCGCAGATCCCCCAGCTTCCATTCTGCAGCCTTCTGAGCCCACCCTGAACTGTTCCTGGCCACCCCTGCATGCTCCTCTGATGCTTCTTTCTGTAGCCACATCTGTCTTTGTCCTTGGCTCCCATGTCTGAGCCCCTTGGCAGTGGGTCGTCCTCACAACCTGCAGAGCAGATCTTTGGGAACTTGCCCCTGAAAGAGCCCTCTTCACTCCTGTTTGTGTGATTCAGGGGCAGCTTCTTGTGCTGCCTGGCAGTATTGGTGGTCCTTTCACCCTGCTGTGCTCCAGCTGTGCTGTATGCTGTCACGGCCACGTGCAAAGCATCAGGCACAGAGTGCCAGGAGGCCCCTGTGTGCCTGCCCCACTTCGGCTTACAACACCTCACCCTCTTGCTGCCTGCCAGCCCCCGCATGATTTCAAAGCAAACCCAGTCATCAAATGCCTTCACCTGTCAGTATTTCAGTACTGCTGAGAGAAGAGATTCTTTGTGAACCACACCACGATAGCTTTGTGGCTACAAAGATGAATAATAATGGTGACATTATCACAGTAGCTGTTCAGTGCTCAAATTCCCCACTTGCCACAGTTTCCACAGCTGGCTCTTCTGAAGCAGGGTCTGCAGAGGCCCATCAAGGTGGTAGGCAGTTGTGTTGAGGTTCTTCTCCCTCCTTCTTTTCTGCTATTGCAGATTTTTTTTTTTTTTCAGAAACCAGGTCATTTGTCTCCAGGAGTTTTTCACATTCTTGTTTGTGTGTATTATATCCCAAGAGTGTGTAGCATGTTCCTCTGCTCTGTTTCCTGTTTCCTGTAAAGGAAGAGCAGGAGTGCTCAGCATTTAACCAGAGGACTTCGGGAGCAATCTCCAGGGAAGTGTGTGGTGTCCTCTGGCCCCTCTCAGCTTGCTGGCAGCCACAGGTCACATAGCCTGCCTGGCACATCCCAGCTCCACAGTTCACACACAGCTCAGGGATGAGCTCCACCCAGAGATGTGCTTGTGCCCTGTGCCTGTTGAGGACTGTGTGACTGTGATGAGGGGCTGCCTTCCCTAGAGCTGTGACCTTCGTGATGACAGGGAACAGTGTCCCTTTCAATGTCTGCACCAGGCCACATGAGCTGAGAGTGTGAAGTGCACACTGGTTTAATGCTTCCCCTATCAGCTTCCTGTCAGCCCTAAGGAATGGCTTTGTTCTCAGTCTCGCTTTCCTACAACCTCACTTTCCAGAGGAAGAAACAAACCTAGGAAGCTAACATTGTGACTTGATAAAAAAATTCAGATCCCTTCCAAATCCCACTCCTTATGATGCAGATTTAAACAGTTTACTTCACTGCCATGGTGAATTGGTCCTGGGCTTCAATGTTTAAAATGGCCATTCAGCTCCAGCACCAGGCTTTCTTGGCTTGTGCTCTGCAAGCTTCGGGGTTTGCTGAGAGGTCATGGGCAGCTGGGAACAGCGAGGCCACTCTGCGCTGACCCTGTAGCTGGAGGCTGAGAGGCCCCTGGATGTCCACGAGCCTTGTGCCACTGGGAGGAGCAGCCACCAGGCAATAGTCAATCCAGGCAGGGGTGAAGATCTGCTTCCTAATGACAGGAGGGGAAGGGAAGCTGCTCCAGCTTCAAGTCTGTACTTCCTGCATGGCTGCCTGATAGGCAGACAGGTGTTTGTCATGCTTCACCCTGGAAAGTGGGCCGCAGCACAGGGGCAGTGGTGACTCCTGGGAAAGGCTCAGCGGGCCTGAAGGTGCCCAGGAGACAGATCCACTGGAAGAACAGGGGGCACTACAGCCCCCCTACTAAGCCCAGCTTCAGCTGTAGGGTGAGAGGTGGATGGACTGCCTTCTCCTCCCTGGCCCGCCACATTTCTGGAGTGTGTGTTTTCAAAGATTTGTGAGGGTGGCTGGCTCTAGGTAGCTGGATGTCTTCAAGACCCCAAGGGGAAGCCGTGTCCCATGGTGTTAGCTTAGGAGGGGCCCTGCAGTACTGTCCAGTCCCAGGTGTGACCCCTGCTGTTGTGTCCCCACCTACACCCACACCCTGATTTGTGGCAACATACAAGGATACTGACTGGACGTGGATAGCAGAGGTTCATTTGGTAAAAACTTAGAGAACAGTCCTTCTTCCTTCCTTTATTCATTACTTACAATTCTTTCCCTTTCAAAAGCTTTAAAGCTTTAAAGTGACTTGAAGTTAGGAGAGCTGTGCTGGATGGGGTGGCAGGAGGGTGGCGAGTAAGCTGTGAGGGCACCAAGAGGGACTCCAGGC